CGATTATCACGCCTTAACTAACCTATTCTGGTAGCCTTCCTATTCCTAGCCCTCACTAGGTTATCCTTCAACCTCACTAACTAGTGCGTCGAAATGCCTATGGCAAACACCACAATGGTGTCCCTGGCAAGCTTCGCGTTCAAAATTTTGTGTGTGCAAGTCTAGAAGATCGTCAGTGGCATCATCCTCACAAGATCACTTCCGAATCAACCGTAGTTATTACCATTTACAGCAAGTATCGCATAATACATTAGTATTAGCATCACTGGAAGATTTTGTGGTATTGTTGTAAGGGTTCATCACCAAAGAACTTATGGGGAAAGCGCTAAGATTTAAAAAGGATGAGTTATTAATGCAAGAAAACTGGCCATATAAAGGTTGAGTAGGTGAGTACAAAGAAGAATTTGAAGAAGAATTCAAAAGGTCACATAAAAGTAACATATTAAGTGAGGAATTCTTCAGTTGAAGAGAGAAAGGATGATCAACCACATGAGGATTAGTGAAAGATGGCCAGTGAGAAGCAGGGTTAAATTGGAAAGTGGGTAAATCTCTAACCGACGGTTGAGGCTGTTTGGAGAAAATAAATGGAGAGAGAAGATGATCAAGAGTAGAGAAATTAAACCAAGGGCATGGTCTAGGAGGTTCACAAAGGCTGTGACGTCTTTTGGGTACCATCAAAGTAATTCAAATCACACACTGTTCCTTAAAAAACAATAAGGAAAGATCACTACACTTATTATATATGTGGATGATATGGTGGTTATAGGAAATGACCCAGAAGAAATGATGGTTCTACAAAAGTACTTGTTAAAAGAATTCGAAATGAAAGACTTAGGTTCTTTGAAATATTTTCTTGGAATCAAGTGTCTCAACCTAACAAAGGTATATTTTAATCACAAAGAAAATATGTCTTGAATGTGCAGCAAGAAACTAGTATGTCAACATGTTAACCAACTGATATACCAGTTGAAGAAGGTCTCAAATTATGAGTCAAGACTGATCAAGTACCAGTTGACAAATGGTGATACCAGAGACTTGTGGGAATATTGATGTACTTGTCACATGCCAGATCCTGCCTATGCATTGAGTATAGTCAGCCAATTCATGAATAATCCTAGAGAATAACATATGAATGCACTCATGCGTATTTTAAGATATTTAAAACATGCTTCTAGAAAGGGAATCCTATTTACTAGAAATACGGATTACCAAAATGTGAATGCAAATACTGATGCTGATTAGGCTAGAATAGTGGAAATAGACGATCTACTCCTAGTTATTTCACTTTTATAGATGGTAATCTAGTCACATGGAGAAGCAAACAACAAAACGTTGTGGCACGCTCAAGCGCTAAAGCGAAATTTAGGGGAATGGCACTTGGGATTTGTGAAGCTTTGCAGCTAAGATTTCTCTTGCAAGATTTGGGCTATCAAACAATCCAATTATATTGTGACAATAAAGTAGCATGTGATATTGCTCACAATCCAGTTCAACATGATCGTACAAAACATGTTGAAGTAGATAGATTTTTCATCAAAGAAAAACTAGATGAAAAGATCATTGAGTTGCCCAAGATTCGATCAGAGGATCAATTAGCCAGCATCCTTAACTCTAAACGTATATTTTCACAAATTTTAGAAAAGTTGGGCATGTGTGACATCTACGCACTAACTTGAGGGGAAGTGTTCAGATTTCCTGAATATTTTTGAAATGTTCTTATTTTGTCAGATTTAAGATACTCAAAATATTCTTGATATTCTATAATCTCCTAATTATGTCAATATATTATGTAATCTGTAACTGACATAATCAGAAGATTCAATAGATTGTATACTTCCTATATAAAACCTGTAACCCTTTAGTGAAAATCAATAAATTGGAATACAATTCTTCAAACAAATAGAATTATGTTTTTCTATTTCAAATAAATAGTTTGGGTTGGATAAATTATATTTAATCTCTATAGAAAGAAAAATAAGTTTCTTTTACTCATTGAAAGATTGCAACTGGTTAATAACAACAAATTTCTCCAATTATTTATGAGGAGATGATAATAAAAAGTTTGAATGTACTAATAATTAAAATGGAAAGAAAATAAAAATAAAAAGGTGATTTTGTAAGCAACATAAAAATAAAGAGGTATTATAATAAGATTTGAGATTAGCGTAAATTGAGCTATGATAATTAATAAAAATAATAGATCTTATCATTAAAAGATAGGAAGAACCTTACATACGAAATGTGTCTATGAATTGAAGTGAAATACAAAAGTAGCAACGATTTTTATGCAAAAACGAGCATTTTTGCTTAGTAAACTCATTCTTTTAACAATAGTTGTATTACGAATTTGTCCTTTAGAAGGGGGCAACTTATAAAATGGGTGGGTTCCTAGTGACTTCCCTCGTTTCTATTTGACACTGATTTTAAAACATTGAAGTGTGTACTCAGTAATGGAGACCATTGAAACAAAAAACTGGGGCTACATGCTGGCCCATTAACTAGAATCCAACAAAAGCCTAGTCCAAACCATTGGGCAAATGTGTAGATCCAAAACGACCCAACCCAAGAATTTAAATAAGTGGATTTGTATCAAAATTGGTTAACAATATCTACTTTCAAGTAATACATTCCACCGATTACTGATCAGTGATCACCAACTTGCCAAACCTATAATAGAGTGGACTCACTATAAAAATTATTATCTTTTATTGTAGATATAGAATAAATAAAGATAAAAATAATTAAGCTTAAAGAAGGGTTATCATTGAATACATTAACCTCTAAACATTATCTTATTGGATATTAATTAATTTCAAGTGGGCACTCGCCTTAATGGATCAATCGTTAATTGTCCAGTGTCCACCCTCTCCATCTACAGCTAAATAATAGTCAAGTCGAGGCCCACCCCTATCTTCCATAATAAATTAACCACTCAACCTTATTGAATACTCATTAAAGAAGCTAACCTTTGTAATTGAGGGCAATGCCCATGTGGGTGGACCTTTTAATTCATATTCTTTGAAGGTCGATCATCTTATGTAACTCCTTTACGATGTTAAAATTTAATTCTTTCAGTAGAGCAAATCTAAGCATGACTAAGCAAAGTGGGTCGCATGAAGCAACAACGAAGCAGCTGGACAGGACTGTCTGTGTATCTGTTTTTTTTTTTTTTTCTTTTTTAAAACAATAAATGCTGCAATTATATATATGTGTGTGTGTGTGTGTGTGTGGTTATATATATATATAATTCCTGGAATTATTTTCTCTTTACTACAAATATCATGCATATATTTATTGTAATTTAAATTGACAAAGAACAATACTACTATATATATAGGAAGAGAAGTGGAAGATAATGATCCTTAAAGTTGCAGTGATTAGGAAACAATTAATTAAAGTGGTTTTGATTGATTTAATACAAAGCTAAGGTAGAGGAAGATTTGTGAGAAATAACAATGGAGTTCTTCCAAAATTTGATCATGATATGTTGTTGTTTGGAGGATGAAAATATGATAAGAGATGGTGTACAAGTTTGAAGTTAATTGTAAAGACACATAAATTGACGGCATACAAAACCAATAAAGCTAATTGTATAAAGAAAAGCAGTCTTTCTCTCACGCATTATCCTGAGCACTGATAATGAACAACATCCACCTTCTATCGGAGATCTCCACTACTTTTAGTAGAATTTCTCTACTCGAATGAAACTTCGAGACAAAAACATGCAAATTGCTACAAGGAAACATACCTGTTCACTATCAAAAGAGAAAATAATTTGATAGATGACCTAATTAGATATTGATCTATACATTAACTTTTCTACTTATAATTAAAACGACTTGAGGATCAATCAAATAATACGGAAGGATTATGTTATTGCACTAACAACAATGTAGCTGAGACCATCGAAACATTTTACTGCATACAGAAATTCAGTATATATACAGCTTAAGAACTTCAATTTGCAAGTTGGTCATCCATTTTTGGTTTTTTGCCTCCTAGCTGGTCATTCTCACAGTGGCGGTGATCAGTTTATGGTTTATCCACCGCAAAATATTTTATGAGCCAAATAATAAAAATACTTTTTACGGCGGTATGTAATATATATAAGAAGCTTCATTTAATCTTATATATGCTCTGCCATGCCAATCTCTCAAGATCTCTCCAAACCTAATTTTATTTGATATGCAAAGATCGCCAAATGTTGTTATGGAATTTAACTTAAGAGACAATCTCCTTCATTTTCAGCCTTCGTTAATGAATTTTTAAAATGCAAAACAATTGATTTATCGGATTTAATAAGACAGAATTTAAACCATAATCCCAGAAGAAAAATATGTATGTATATATTTACATTCTATAGCCTTTAACAAGAGTAGTATACCAATTGGTCCTTAAAATTAGGGATTGATTAGTTCGAGACAAAACAAAGTAGCCATAAATGAGAAAATCCAGGAAGATACAAAAGCAATGAAAATTTCTCAGACGGCGCAAGTAATCATACATGCATTGACATCCACCAAAGAGAATTCATCTTGAAATGTTGAAATGGATTTCACGGGCTCAAACCACCAATACCTTTTTCATTGGAAAAGAAGATGATGGCGGAGTTAAAATAAAGAACCCAAAAGCCGGCTAAAACAGCCTTTGAGATCCTAGGTCAACGCACAGCCATCGAAAGAAACACACAATATAATAACACTCAGATGAGTATATCGGTAGAACATCTATGTAAAACAAAACCCAAAAAAGTTTTACAGATTGCATGCCATAACTCCCATTTTAGATAATATAAATATAGCGATTATATAAATCAATAAGCTTAGTAACTTGAAGATCATGAGATCTCCACGGAAGTACATATGAACTTAAAATTAAAACCGAACTAAATTTCCAAAACCCTAAAATCAGCAATGATCAGTGGCGATATTTCATCTATAGACACAACTAATAATATTAGAACGTAACTTAGATAGACTTTCCTGCAAGAGTAGAACTGGTTAACCATTCTGAACCCTAGCTGTGAAGGCACTCATAAGTTCTGGGTACTGAAATATATCACCAGTATTAATTGATTCTGGTCCCACTTGCAGGTTTAGCGGCAGCTCGTTACCATAGGGCATCGCGTGAGATCCAGAGACTTCATTGAAATTCTCTAACTGTTGATGAGGACCACCTTGGAAGTCAAAGTAGAAACCACAATTCTCGTTTCTAAGCCCCCTCTTATATCCATCCAGTGAATGATTAACGGAAACATCAGATAACAGTGCAGCACCAACCGATCCTTCGTTATAATTTGAACTAGCGTTTGAAGAATCATCACATTTCTTCGACAAAGGTTTTGGGAAGAACCCTTGAATGATTTCTTGTAGCAAGCCAGAATCTGAAGGCTCTTGTGGAAAGAATTCTGTGTCATCACTTTGATGAACAACAGTAGTTTTGATAGAGCCCGTGGTGGTGTTATTATAGCCTTGATGGTTTTCATTTAAAGGAAAAGTCCCCAAAGAACCAGAGTAAGTATCGCATAATACATTAGTATTAGCATCACGGCAACTTGTTGTGGTATTGCTACAAGGATTCATCACCAAAGAACCTCCGTGGAAAGCGCTAAGATTTGAAGAAGATGAGTTGTTAATGCATGGAAACTGGTCATATAAAGATTGAGTAGGCGAATACAAAGAAGGATTGGAAGAAGTATTCAAAAGGTCACGTAAAAGTAACATATTGAGCGAGGAATTCTTCTGTTGAGGAGAGAAGTGATGATCGGCCACATGAGGATTAGCGAAAGATGGCCAGTGTGACGCAGGGTTAAATTGGCGAGTGGGTAAATCTCTAACCGACGGCTGAGGCTGTTTGGAGAAATTAAACGGAGAGAGGAGATGATCAGGAGTAGAGAGAGGCTCAGTAGATGGATAAACAAAGTTTGTTCGAGCTTTGTGACCACGCATGGCTCGAGCCGCACAGTCATAGGCACAGGCGGCTTCCTCCGCCGTGTCAAAAGTCCCCAGCCAACGCCTCTCCTTAGACTGAGGGTCCCGTATCTCAGCAGCATAGCGGCCCCACGGCCTGCGGCGAACCCCACGGTACCTCATGGTTCCACCGCTACAATTACCACTTTCTTTCAAAGTCCTTTTGTTGTTGGTGGTGGTGGTAGTAGTAGTAGTTGTGGTAGTTGAGTCGCAGTTTTTCTGGTGATCGGTGATGGTTTCTCTTGGGTTAGATTCAGGTAAATGGGTTATCCCACCAAGTCTCCTAAGTGCCTCCTCCATTTCACTGGTTGAACAAAGAGGACAAACTTAGAAGAAAAAGAAAGGAGAGTGAATAGAATACACAGAGACCGAAACGAAAAGGATTTTGAGAGTGGAAGTGAAAATCTCAGGAGTTGGCACCTGGACTGCGATGGTGGTAGAGGATTTATTTATAGCTAGCTATAATAACTCTGGTGTAGAGACGGGGTTAGAAAGTGACTGATTTATTCATGCGTTATATTGGTGCAACACAAAATTCGAAAAATAAGCTGGTCCAGTATTATTAATCTGACGACTAGGATCATCTACTGGCCCAACCGTCCACAAATTAGAGGGTTGTGATCATTTATTCTCTATAGTAAAACTTTTTGTTTTTTGTTTCTTTAAGAAGAATAAATTATTGGATCTTCTATATCATATTCATTTATGCTATTGCATGCATGGAAGGATGGATGTTATAATAATTTGGTGTCCTTTCTTCCAAATCCCTCTTCTCTCGAGGCAGCTCTTATGGAAGATTTCATTTTACCAGTAAAATTATATTAGCCATAAATACATCATTTCTTCTTATGTTATGTTACATTTTGGACCATTTATTTTTACCAGTTATAACTCTCTCCATCAAAAGTAGTGGAACACTTCTGTTCTAGTTTATACTTTATACGTGCAAGCATCTCCTTGTTACCCCTGATATTAGGAAATCATCTGGTTAGTAATTTACCATTAATTTCTTAACGAAGTTTGATTAGAATCTTTATTAAAAAGCAAAAAAGAACATAACACCTGGAATGGGTCTCCTTCTCCTATTAAGTTTATGTTACTGTAAGTTTGACTTGTGAATTTTAATGATGATAACTGTTCTTTCTGAAACTTTGAGAAATCTTTGGACATGGGTGTGCCAGCTAAGAGCTCTGTTTGCATAGTAATTGCCTTCGGCTATTTCCAAGAGCAATGGGAAAAGGTTACCGAGAGTTGTTTGGCTGGAAATTTTTTGGGGATTTTAATGGAGTAATTATAAGTTTTCATCTCAACCGCCTGTTTATATATCTTGAAAATCTGAAAGAAATCACTACATTTCTATAATTGAATCTGCAATCTACACGTCTCCATCTAACATGTAATAAAGAGTAAGGGATTTCGGGGGAAGAAGATAAGAAAAGCATTGCTTAATATTTCTGGGAAGTTGAAGAGCTTTCTCATTCTCTCTTTCTGAATGATTACACTGGCGGCGCTCAGAAATTGTTTCTCCAACTTTGGTTTGTGTTAATTTCATGGTGGTTTCAGAAAAATTTGAAAGGGTATTAGTGATGGTTAGGGTTTGAAAACCAAGGATTATGATCACATGGAGTTGTCTGATGTAGGGTTTAATAGGGTCTTTTAAGAGATGAGATTTAGCTTCTGGTTCTGTTGGTAGATTGAGACTAAAGTTGTTTGTTGTTGTACCCTTGAGTCAGAATAAAGGAAAAGATTAGGGTTGTCCACTTTCCAAAACCAAACCCCTCTCACGGTCTAATTCTCTATTAATCACAACTCCATCTAATCATACAATTAATTACATCGTTAAACTATTGCCAACCTCTAAAATTTTCAGAAAATAAAATAAGTCACCTTTATCAATAAATGGATTGTATTTGAATTTTGAAACCCTATTTATGTGTCAATATAATAACTTATTTATTGAATTTAATTATCATTTATTGGATAGATAGAGTCAATCAAATTGGTGCTTATTCTTACGTGTGAAGGTTGGTGCGAGAATATATTATTACACTATCAAATTGGTCCAACTCCAACATACAGATTACGTGTGAGGATGATGAATGGATTCATAGATTACATGATGAGCGTTTATACATTGATGGTTGATTTAATCAAAAGTGGGTGGGTGTTGAGGTTAACGAGTAAAGATAAGAAACGTGGGTGTGAAAGGAGTAAATGTAAATGACGGTAGAGTTGAGTTTGGTTTAAAAGATGGCGGAGACGCCAAACAATGAAATGAAAAGATTTTAACGACAAAGAAGAGATTCTGTCAGACCATATTAAAATCAATATATATGGAGTAAACAGCTTTTCACACCCACTTTATGCCCCCCTTTCCCAAATCTATTACTATTTCATTTCTGTATTTTAGGGATATGTCTTCCATATTTTATTGAAAATTAAATCAATATATCACCTTTTTTTTTTAATTAAACATGTTATCTATAATAAATAGGTGTTAGTATTCGATTTAATCGAGTAATAAATTTATAATTTAGCGAATTAGCTTCACCAATTTTTTTTTTTTTTTTGTTTTTTATGATTGGGGTGTCCAGATCAACTTACATGTACTTCAATTAATTCTCTAAAACCCTAATTATCAATCGAATAAAAACCCCAGTAACTATTCTTTTTAATACTCAAGAAAAAACTCAACTTCTTGAATAATATATTCAGAAATCACTATCGAATCACTGAGAAAATTTCTTATACCCCTTTTGTGTTTATTTGTGTGGTTTTATATCATGTTTTTAATTTACTACAAATATCCTCTCTTTTTTCATAAAGTTCAAAGCTTGTTATATTAATATTTTAATACATAAATTGGACATACTATATACATATACAAACCAAAATTCCTTATTATATTAATTAATTCATGGCCGAAACCAAAAAAAATAAAATTGGGAGGACTAAACAATTTTAAATTGAAAACAAAAATATTACTTTTGTTAATATGACGATAACATTAACAAAAATGGAAGAGAAATGGTATAGAATTAAGATAAACGATGTTTATTTCAAACTTAAAAGAAGGTAGTATAGTAAAAAAAGTGTATTCTAAATTTCAAAAGAGTATTAATAATTAGAGGAGTCAAAATTATAATTACTTATTATGAGTATGGGATATTTTTTTATATAAAAATATAAAATATATATAATTAAGAATTTATAATATAAAATTATTTCCTAAAAATTTGACCGGGGCTGGATGCCAAGAGAGCCACCCCTGCTCCCGCCACTAATTAAATTAATTTGATTTATAAGAACAAATTCAAAAATTTGTTAACGCATTAACATATTAAAAAAAAAAAAAAAAAAAAAAAAAAAAAAAAAAAAAAAAAGTGTTAACATTCGGTGTACATTATTTTAAAAACATTCAATGAAAAATGGTAGAAATTACAAATTGATCAAGAAAATAACTATTAAATTTAACTATGCAAAAAAAAATTAAAGTAATTTCCTTTGCATAATTATATGTATATATTAAGGAAAAATTTGTTTTAACTAAAATAATTAATCTTATAAGGGTACCAATAAAAGGTTGAATTGCGTTAAATAAATAAAACCAGAAGAATAAAAGAAAATATTGAAAATTAAAGCAGGTGAAATTTGGCAACGTCGGCAAGCCATCGGTGGTTGGCGACTTGGCGTAGGCAAACCTCGCGTGGCAAGCCAATGGCCACTAACCTATTTCTATTCCCATGTTTACTAGTGGACTGCGATCGTTTATTTTTAGAAATTTTTTTACAAAAAAAAATTATATTTTAACAAAATTATTTTTCATTGTTTAATTTCAGTGAACGTTATTTAATGAATCCATGATACTATCCTTTCCAAAACTTATCTCAAATTTCATATCTTACTTGTACATGTACATTCGACATTGATATTTTAAATAAAGTGATTATGTGTTTAATGTAATAGCAATGCTAGATGACACATTACTTGAGATATAAAATATGAAATAAATATTTGAGATAAGCAATATAATATTTATATTTTTACATTAACAATATTGTTAATGAGTAATGATACATCAAAAACACATTCTCACAAACGTCTCTCACAACTTCGATGTAGTAATTGTTGGCAGTCTCACGACAATTCCACCATACTCAAGGCGCAAAATAATTTTAGTTACAACGAAAAAACGATCGTTCTTTCATAGAAAACGATTGTTCTTTATGAATGAATGATTATGAAATGATCGTTTATCGCAAAAGGAATAATCATTCCTTATGAAAGAACAATCATTCCTTATGTAAGAAATAACCATTCCGGAATGATTATTCTTTCAAGAACAAGGTTGTTCTAAGAAGAAGAAGAAGAAGAAGAAGAAGAATACAACAATAACAACAAGAAGAACGAAATTGAAGAAGAGAATTGATAGGAAAGAAACAAGGTGAGGAACAACCATGGTTGTTCCTCTACGGACAATGTTGTTCCTCTAGGGACAATGTTGTTCCTTCAGGAACAAGTTTGTTCCTTAAAGAACGATCATTCCTTATGAATGAATGATTATTCCTTCATAGGGGACGACCATTTATTCTGAAGGAATAACCATTTGTTTCTCGTAGTGTTTTAATGTTTTGGGTGTGGTGGAAACTAACGTGATAGTGTCAATCTGCTACCACGTTAAAGTTGTAAAAAAATATTGTGAGATTATAGTGTAAACGTAGCATTTTCCTATTGTTAATACCCTTTATTAAGATTGTATATTTATTGACCTCGATACCGTTTCTGATTAATTATAAATGAGATATTATAGTTTCATATTCTTGCAACATAATGCCTATTAATATCACAAATCCACACATCCATGCTATTATTACCTTTGTCTATAACATGCATCACATGATCATACAAGTCAACCGTATATTTTTGTGATAAATTAAGCTTAATTATATCTTAATTGTAGGTTAAAATAGATTAAATATCTCATTAAAAATTACATAATCTTTTTAGTTAAAATATTTTTGAGCTCTTAAAATATGCATTCAATTTTGTTTTTTTATGATTAAAAAAAAAAATGTTGTAGTCATATGATTTTTTAAATATATCAAATAAATTTATGCATATAAGATATTCGTGAATACTTGTTATAAACAAATATCTTTGGCGATATTCTTATATAATTTAACAAGCAAACCAGAAATGTATTATTACTATCATTTATTTATAGTGAAGAAAGAAAATTATTAACGTAGATGGTATAGAAGGGCAACTTTAAGATACTGTAGCATTAGTTGTTTGGTTGT